ACAGCCCGGAAGACCCACACCAGCCATTGTATTCTGGCCGTGAAAGCCTTCGACAATACAACGAAGGCTTTTCTGTTTTTACAATCAGTTCATAGGAGTTAGGGCAGGTTTACATTAGGGTAATTAAAAGAAAGACTTGCAAAATTTCACCACTTCTCAAAAGTGATCCAAGGTAACAGAGAATAAGGGTGCACTAAGAATTGTTGAAAGAGTCATGTTAGGGAGAAAGAACGTGAAAGAGTTAGGGTTAGGGCACATCTGAGTTCAGCAAAAATTTCCACCTTTTTTCACCTTAGCCATGATGCCCTTTTGAAGAACCCCAAAAGAACTGACCAGGCCATGAGGCCCATGTTGTAGGTCAGCAAAATCAGAAAAATCACAAGGAGAGAAGAAGTAAGTTGAGCCTGTGGGTGTCCTTTCTTATTGTTCTTTACAACTTGCCAGTTGCATGGATTTTGTGTGGTGTTTTATCCACTGTTAGTTAACCAGAGTTGATTCAGCCATACAATTTGACACCATAATAATGGCAATAGGAATACTAAAATCAATATTAAGAACAAGGCCACCAAATACACTCTCTCTTTGGACTGAGAAACACTAAGCAATTTCTTTGTTTTCTCCAAAGAATTCAGTTTGCTCTATATTTAGCAAAGCGCATCTGTTGTCAACTGAGACGGGGGTTCACAGTGAGGATGCACCCTCCTGAAATGTGAAATTTTCTTGAGACCTTTTCAGTGAACTCTTATGGAAAGAGCAGATAAAATAATGACGTCTCCAAAATGAGTCAATCTTGAATGACCCTTGTTTTATTTCCTACCGTACCCCCACTTGGGGCATAAGCAATGGGATTTAGTGTGGCAACACTGCCCCCTGGTGTAAAAGGCAAGGAGGGCAGGGCTCTGCCTAATTGTCCAAGGAGATTTTTTTGGAGCAGATGTATCCTCAATATGTATCTGACTGTTTGGATATTCAGAAGGATGATTCCAAAGTTCAATTGCCAGCCTTCTGCCATGATCCTCAGTGACTACATCCCACTGCAGTGTTTTTTCTGAAGCCA